TAAATTTTATTATATTTTATTTATAATACTTTTAAAAAATAAATAATTAAACATTAAAATAACTTTTAAATACAATTATAGTACAATATAATTTAACAAATCTATAATTACAATTACAATTACAATTACAACACTTCATAACAATTTCAATAGCAATCATAGTCTCAAAATTGATATTTACTTACCCTTAGCAGTTGATGACCCAGCCTCCACCTTATAAAAAAAAAAAAAAAAATGCATTTCGCTGGTTGGCCCTCTTCCTGGCGGCAGCATTGGCGCTCTAACGGACGGCACTCCTCAAGGGAAAGCAGGCCCGGATCAGGTCAATGCTTCCCATTTAGAGCCCAATTAAGTAATGATGGTGCTCAAAAATTAAGCCCACACGGAGCTTCTCTAGACTCTGGGCCACCAACTTGACAATCCTTCGATCGTGCACAATGTTCCCAATTCTTCAATTCTTTTAAATTTTTTATTTAATTTATAAACTTTTCGAAATTATTAATATACATTTTTTTTATGACTGTTAATATACAATTTAAAATGAGGTTAATATAGAGTAAGTTGTCTTCTTAAATTTTTTTTGAAAAGTCTACCTAAAAATTCACATTATAATTAAATTTTTTAAAAATTAATAGTTGAATTAAAAGTTGTATTAATGTACATTTGACATGCATTTCAATTTTCATAATAATGCAATACTTATAACTTTTAATCAAAAAAAATTCATTTATGAACATATATTTAATGATATTAAACTTTGTATAATTAATAAACTGATTAGTATGTTATATTAATTTAAAAATTAATATGCAAGATTTACATAAATCAAACTTTTAATCTAACTATTGATTTTTAAAAATTTTAAAATTTTCCTCTAAGAAGACATCTTACAAAATATTTTTCCCATTTAAAGTTCTCTCTCCTTATTTCGTGAAGAGTGTTTTACATGAATATTCCCTTTTAACATTCATTTCCAGACATTCTCTTTATGATTGGCCTCAAGTGTCACATAATATATGTGATTACTAATAATTTTAAATTTTAAATATATTAACTCGAACCTCTATCACTAATCACCAATCACATGTGTTTAATTTGTTAGAGAAGGATTTTTCTTTTGTCAAATTTGGTCTGGATGTCCATTACATTTGAATTATAAGTTCTTGGTTGTTGGAGTTTAAATATTTTAACAAAAATAAAATAAAATATTTCATAAATAAAACTTACTGTCCTACAAAGGAATTGATCAAATTAGTTATTATAAGTTAATTCTTCTACTTAAGGGTACATTATTTTATAATAATTGCCTAAATTATTCCTACCATTAACCTACAAATAAAAATTATATGATCAAGAGAGTACTATATATAGAACATTGTCATTTTACTCAACTAGGACAAGTTCCATCATATTCTTCTGCCTTCTTACCCTATCTTTTAAATACTCCTGGGCAAACAAAGGTGTTTTAAATTTAGTAATTCTAAGGGTAATGCAGATTCATAGAGTATTATTATAAGGCTGTAGCATATTGAGGGCAACTTACTATATAATCCTTCTGCTGCATTGGTAGATTGACTCTCCATAGAAACATGAATCATCTTAAAATAAGTAAACTTTTTACACCTTTTTTAGTGATATGTTTTTATTGATTTTTTTTATAGGAAAAGGGAAAATCAGGATACTTTGGCATTAAAAATGTCAAGATATCTAATAATAGACACATAATGAATTTGATAAAGTTAAGACCCACACTATACCCTACACATTTAATAGTTGTGATTGAACATCATAACATTTTTAATGCTAAGAGATCTTGATTTCCCTTTTCTCTTTTTTGATAAGTTCACTAATTATTATTTTAATTTATTTGATTTTGTAATCAAGACACAACAATAACATATATAATGCAAAGATGAAAAAAAATATTTGAGGAACAATACTAATTTTGTAAGAAAACCTTAGTCCAACTTGCATATATGATTTTGATTTTTCCCTACTCTGTTGTCTTCTAAATTGGCTTTTATTTGCTAATTAAATTTTGTAGCCGCAAAATATTATTTTAAAATATCATGAAAAAAGGAAATAATTTTACATCATTCTTCCTTTCCTATGGGATATATAATGAGGAAGTTTATATGATCCACAAAGCTAGCTAGTCAATTCGGAGCTTGCCTTGAAAGTTGAAACAAACTATATCTCCATGTCTTCCAATTACTTCCAACTCTCTCCTTAATAAACAGCTTATCATATATTTTCTTTTCATTTCTCTTATGTCCATAAGAACTGATTTTTCATTTTTGTTATTTTGAGGAGATTCAAAAGGTTATTAATATATTTTACTTTTCCCTCCAAACCCTAGTCGCCTCTCTCTCACTCCTCTGATTCCCTCTACTCCCTTTTGCTCTCTCGTTGCTCTTAATCCAGCTCCTTTGTTTTATTTAGTGGTTAGGGAGCATGCATAAAAGTGAGATTTTCTTCCTCTTTCTCTATCTCTTATGGAGAAAGAAGATGACATGGATGTACGGCTAACTAAGCTCAGATGGGTTGCAACATTTGCTTCGATTGTAAACAACATAGTCAAAGGGTGGGGTCCTAACTAACTTTTTAGCACAAAAGCTAAAGTATTAGATGAGACTGTTCAAATGCTTTAGATGTCCAATGTGATAGTCTTTTTAAGTTTATTCACTATTTTCCTATATATAGTAATTACTTATGTAATCTAAATTTCAAGCTATAAATGAGTTAAACTGAGTCCAATAGCTTGTTACTCTAAGAGATTTGGGACAAATTGATATAACTTCATAAAAATTTTCTAATCATGGATATAACTTTTTTTAAACTAATTTCTAATTAAGTTTTTAATTTAGGATTTGACATTTGCGATTCTACTAATAAAAGCTATTATCTTTAAAAAAAATTTAATTAAGGATATATAACCTAACATATACACTTAATCCTTTTTAGAAAAATCATAAATATCATATCTTTAATTAGAAACTTTTAAAAAGTAATAACCTTAATTTACTTAATAAAAAAATAGTCATATATTTAATTTAATTAATAAAAAATAATCATATCTTTAATTAAAATTTTTTAAAAAGTTATATCCCTATTTGTCCCAAATCCCCATGCATTACTCAAGCTCTAATTTAAATTCCTATGTGGTATGAGAAACGTTGAAATTCATTTTTTACTTTTGAAGGAATAAGAAGCAGTGAAGGGAAAATCAGAACCCTAATTTTTTAGAGTAATACTAGAGATATTTTTACACTACCAATAAGAACAGATGATTGATTTGAACAATCAACAACACATTTTATTGCATCTGATTCTCCACTTAGGACAGTCCTGATGTTCTGATTCTCATGTTCTAATTTATATTTGTTTGATTGGAAAGCTTGTCTCTATAAATTGATGGCACAGGATCTTTTATATATTTATATACTTATTATTGATTGAGGAAGTAAACTTTAAATCAAAACGCAAGTGCCAATAAAGACCACCCAAATATCAAGTGGGGGATTCTTGGTACCATATTCATTTGCCAGAGTCACTGAGGATGAAAACTCTTCTAAACAAACAAATTCTTTCTTGTATTTCTTGTCATGCATGAATCCTCTTATGTTGCATTTCATCTCCTTGATCTCAATCTCAAACAAAACACTCTTCAGGGTAGTCTCATACTTTTAGGAACTAATATTTCCAAGCCAAATAGAAGCTTTGGAACTAGGGATCACATTCTCCTAATTGCTCAAAAGCCGCAATCTTAAAAGATAGAAACTATAATGTCCCCTAAGGGATGTCCAATTGTTCAGAATTTAAGTCTCTATGTTGGAAATCTCAAGTTCAAATTCTAAAATGGGTGAAAAAAAGTTTGTAAAAAAAAAAGTTATTCATTATTGTATGATTCATTATCTACTATTTGAAAAAAAAAAAAAAAAGGTAAGAACTAAAACTAAGACAAGTCTTTATACAGCAGGTTTTTCTCCTAAAATCTTAGAAATGGTTTTCACAGGGCATTCTTTATAAGTGTTTCGGGTTGCCTTTTCTATATGGCCTATGTGAAGCCAAGAATCTATAATAACTAGAAAAAAAAAAAAAAAAGCGTAAGTGAAAGAAATATAAGTGTAAAATGAAAGACTCAAAACTAATTACTACTAATTTTTAGCTTATTGATTGTGATTGGTATATATTATAATTTAATATACTATATAATGCACTCCTTATAAAATTGTTGTTTTTTGGTTTGAAATTAAATATAGATAAACTTAAGGATGTAATCATATATACAAAATACAAAAATCAACTGTACTTATATTAATATATTTTAATAACTAAACTGAACAAATATCGAAAAGCATGTTAAACCGAATGTATACTAATCATATTCCTTTTCAATGCCTTAATTTTAAACTTTTGAACTTGGTTGAAACAGTTGTTAAACTGAGACTACCCAGGTTGTTTCAACAAAGTAAATTAATTAATATGTTTTATTTCAGGACTCATTATATAGGAAAAAATTTCTAGATGACTAAACCAGACAAGAAAATTAACCATTTTTCTCTTGAATATTTCATTTATTCTAAAATAGAACACCATACATATTTAAAAATATATTGTATAATTTAAACTGCAAGCACAATTTAAACTCTTAGGATGGGGATAAGCTCTCTTATATTAAAACTAGAAATTATCCCTCCATGCCTCTATCCCTCCATTTAATATAGTTCTTATCTTCCGGTATAGTATGATACAAAAGAGGAAACTCCCTTGTATCTATTTTGCAAGAACCCCACTTCCTAATAAACCAGAGCAAAAAGACAAATCAGACAACAGTTCTTCTGATCTTTTATTATTATTATTAATATCATTATTATCATTATTATCAGCATCAGTTCTTCTAAAAAGTAAAAGTTATTCTCCACATACATTTCACTGTATGTTATTCTTCCATCAAACCCTTTCCTTATAAATCTCCATCCCTGCACAACATCAAACCCACCAAGCAACATTAAAGCTTTCCAACTGAGCTTTAATTTCTTCCTCTCCATGGGGTCAGGAGGAGGTTTGCCAACCAAAGGCAGCAACAAGACTCTCACAACCGCTTCCAACCTAGCAAACCTGTTGCCCACTAACACCGTCTTGATCTTCCAAGCTCTTTTACCTTCCTTCTCCAACAATGGAAATTGTACAATCGCCCATAAGTACCTAACCTTGGGAATCATTTTCGTCTGTACTGCCGCATGTTTCCTCTCATCCTTCACTGACAGCTTCGTTTATGAAGATGGGAAGCTCTACTACGGTATTGCCACCTGGAACGGCCTCTACGTCTTCAACGACGATCTCCATGACGGGCTTAACCAGGACAAGAAAACTACGCAGGAGAAGTTGAGACCGTACCGTCTGAATCTTATAGACTTTGTGCATGCAATTACGTCTTCGGTTGTGTTCTTGGTGGTTTCCATTAGCAGCTCCAACGTGCAGGACTGTTTCTTCCCCAAGGCGGGGCCGAATGAGGAAGCGCTGATCACTAATCTGCCGTTGGGAGCTGGGATTTTGGCCAGCCTCCTGTTCATGATTTTTCCTACCAAACGAAGAGGGATTGGGTATGGAGATATGGCGATGGCTAGGACTATTACTGAGGAAGATAACCCGAAGAAGAAGGAAACGGAGAAGGAGGAGAAGGAGAAGGGAAAGGAAACGGCCTTAGGCCCCGTTTAACAACACTTGGCGGTGCTTTTTCATTTGGTTTTATGTCCTTTTATTATTTTAAACATATATAAAATATTAATTAAGATGAATATTCAATATGTAAAATATATTTTATATATTTTTAAGATGTTAATAAACCAGGAAACTTATAGTCGTAGTTATAGTAGTGTTGTCGAGCTAAAACAAAGTATCTATAATATTTAGTTTGTTCTTAAAGGTTCTTTAATGATTAAAAATTTAAGTTTTCATATTAAAGATTGTAATTTTAAATCTTATGATAGATAAAAAAGGATTTGAGAGGAGAAGATCTATCATTATTGCATATAATATCATTCAATGTATCAAAAAAATAAATAGTTTAGTTTTTTCATTTTATGTCTTTTATTATTTTAAATATATATAAATATTAATCAAAATAAATATTAAAAATA